TGAGAGCTAAGTATGAATAGAATTCCCGAGGATATTATTCATGGACGAGATCGATGGTGATACTCGCGGAGATTCATTCTTCCTCGGAGCTCCCTTATCAGCATTGTTCTCACCCTGAAGTAAGAATTTTTCTGGGTTGCAGCCGTCGATCACGGATTGGAAATGACTCGGAAAACATCGAAACCACGGAGAGCGAGGATAAGGACGATCTCTCTGCCGTCTCAGAGAGAGTTGGACTCCATATAGACCGGTGCCGTATCGGCCAGAGTATCTGTGATAAAAAAATGGGCCCCTGTACATAGACGAGTCGGCCATGGTTGAAGTTCCATCCCAGCACCGCTCCCTCCAAAACTTCTGAGCATGATTACGGAGCTTTTGACTGTGATTCAGGCTACGATTCCTTATATTTTTCGTATATATCCAGCTGTATTGAGTGAGTGCAGTGAATCGCATACCTCCCGCAACTGTGATTAATATTTTCCGCGGAGGTGGAATCGATCGCCACTGTCCGATGAAGGCTCCTCGACTACCTATAGCCATTATCGGATAATGAATCTTTGCGATCACCATCGAAAGCTTGTTTTCCCACTCGTCTTTGTTTTCTTTTGGTCGGGAATCGGCGTCAGAATGCTGACGCTCGCGAGAATCTTAACCGCGCCGGAGTGAGGCGCTTCGGAGCGGGAACGATCTTCATCTTCTGCAGTCCATTCCGACGATTCACGAATAATCGTGGAGAGAACTTTATCGGAAGCGCGCTATTTATGGAATACATAAGGGACCCCGTTGCCATCTTGAAGATATGACCGACCCATCGGAATCTCCGGCTGAGCTGCCATTCCTCGCCAGCCTCACAAACTCATGACTCTGTTCCATGATAATTGACGAGACGAGAATGAATCTGAAAAGGAAGCATGATTGAACGATGCAAATGACTCTCGGAGATTGGCGAGCAATGTCCCCATCACGCGATGGCAAGCTCCGGCATGATAAAAGAATTTGAAGCAGTCCCTGGAAGCTTCTCGACTCCCGCCTCGGAGTTCTGGAAATTGTTTTCCATCTACACGTCTGCCGAGGAGCTTATTAAGCCAGAGCTCGACGAAAAGAAAGAGCAAAGGGGAAGCGCACGTCTCATATCGCCGTTATGGAGGGGGCTGACCGTAATCTGGAGAGTGAATCAGGTACAGGTGATCAGTGAGAATTATCGGGTAATCCTCCCGTGACATTCACGGACTATCCTGTTGGAAGTGACGTATTACCGATGGATAACAGATGACCCTCGGAGTCTAGTTTATCCCTCGACAGAGCACCATGTGCTGCTGTTCTGTTGTTTCTCCGCACCACTTGTTCTCCCTGTTCCCTCTCTCTCATGCATGGCCTCGCACACTTCCTCACCGAGCTCGACGATTCGAATTTCACTCTCTGAATATCCGGGAGCGACCTCGTTTATCTCGATGTTCATCATGGTTCTTGGTCTACTCTGCGTTCAAATGCGCTTGCGGTAACGGCGGAAGATTTGAAGCAGCTTCCTAGGCAGTCGCTGTTTCTCGGAACACATGATGAGTGGCATCGAGATTCTATCTGAAGACAGTGGACGCTATCAAGCAGCGTTTTCCCGCTCATCCCGCTGCGATCAGCTGCATTGGGGCGCCCGGATCTGCGCGCTGGTCAAATTGTGCGCGGTTTCAATCCATGCCTTGTTTTGCCCGCGCCACGCCGTTTCTTGGGTCGTTCCCCCCTGGTTTTGGTCGCCCAGTTTTGTTACCTACTCTTGGCCATCCAGTTTCGGACGCCTCCCATTGGCCACCCAGTTTCGGTCATCGCCCCCAGGCTGCCCGGTTTTGATCGCCTGGTTGTGGTGGCCCAGTCATGGTCGCCGAATTTCGGCCGCCCCCTTAAGCTTGTCCGTTTTCGGGTGTCCATATCTTGTCGCCCAGCTCTGGTCATCCACTTCCGGTCGCCCCATCTGCTCATGCGGGCCCGTCCCGGTAACGCTGAGCCGCTCGTCCCCATAAGATCGCCCGATCCGGCCGCCCAGTTCCGGTCATGCCGGTCGTCCGGTTCTGGTCACACCGGCGCGGCGCCACCTCGATCGTCCCCATCAGGTAGCCGGGTTTTGGTCTCCCACTTTCGGACACCTTCTCTCGGGAGTTCTGTTCTCGTTCCGGCCGTCTAACTTCGGTTGCCCCCTGAAGCTTAGCCCTACTCACGATGATGAGGCGGAGCCGATCTGAGCGAGAGGCTCGAACCTCGGGTGAGTCCCAAGCTTTTCTAGTGGGAAAGCGATCAGGGCATCTACGTGGGATGGGTTTTTTCCGGAGGGCTTAGGAGGCTTCGCGCAGCTCCGCTATAATCACGTATCGAATATCCCTCTGAGAGTCTCGGCTCACCTCTTACCGTCAACAGCGTCCACGTATCTCCAGATGCGCAGTCAAAGTATTTTGCCCAACGCTTTTCTGACATGTTCATGGTCAGTTGGCAGTCGACAGAGACTGCCGCGACACTCCGGAGATTCGACTGGACATATACCTATAGAACAATACACTCCTCGGAATTCGCGCACTCGCCTGGGTTTTTGTGTTCATTATCATGGTCGAACGAGGTTCGATGACTCGCTGTCATGTCCCTCCACGACGAGGGTTTCGATCGAATCGAGAGAGATTCTGCGGAATCACTTTCGTGCCATGGAAGCAACGCCCTTGCAGTTCACTCGGAGCGACTAGACGGAAGAGACTCGCCATGTATAAAGTCGATAATGCGTTGTAGACGTCAAGCAGACGCCGGGGGAACAGAGCCCATCGAACATCGCTCCTTCGGCGGCTGAGCTGATGTATCGGAATTCTTTCGGAACAGAATGTCTCTCGAGAAACGGAGTGTAACTCAACTCGAGCAACTCTGCCTGCGACGATGAGAAAGAACGCTCGACAGATCATCCGCTTCCATATATCTCTGCCCCTGAAGTCCAACGGTCCTCAACTGTGAGACGTTAATTTTCTAGAGTCGGGAGTCCGGAGAATTTGATTCTGGAGAGTGGAACGTGAATTTCTTCGAAGTAGGTACTTTCTTCAGGTTCGTCAGCTTGATGCGCTGAACATTCATAATAAGAATATCTTCAATGGAAACACTTAACATAAAAAAACGTAGGTGGGGTCTAGGCGTACCTAATGAATTCAGTCCAGTCCTACACACCCTCGCGGATATGCTCTGTTCTGCTTTTCCCGTTCGTCTCTATCGATCGCTCGAGCTTTTTCCCGGGATTTCTGATTATCGTTCCTCAAGCAGTCAATGGATTCGAGCAGTCTTGGATGGACAAGGTCGATCGCAGGTAAGCTTCGAAGGCGGACTCTGCAGACGATCACGAGAATCCGGAAGTCAACCGGCGCATGACAGGCGGACAGGCGGGAAGCCGTGCATCATCTTGCCGAAGCTCTTGCATTGACTCGCTGCAGGTACCTTAGCAAATTTTTGATTCCGTAGAGCGATTAGGTGGCAGCTGCACCACTCAAGGAATGAAGGCAGAGCCGTGGCATGGTGCAGCGTCGCGTCGCTGAGCCAGTTCCTGGCAGCTGATCTCGTTCAACATATCGCCTTCATACTTAGACTCTGATCAACATCAGACACTATTGGGTCGGAAGAGACGATGAGATAAGACCTAGTATTAGTGAACGCCAAAGCCCTCTTGGCAGTGGAGGCCATGTCCATCGACGAAAATAGAGAGCTCACGGACATGAGTGACCATAACCTACTCACTGTTGAATGCAACACATCATTCTACAAGCAGGTGGCCAAAATTACGAAGCGAACGCTGGACGCAAATAGGGTGGTCGAGGTCTCCGAAAGACTTCTCGCTAGAGAGGAGAATATCTCGTACGATAAGTTTCGGATCACCCTACAGGAGAGTATAGACAGGCTGAGTCGTGAGAGAAAACTCCCCGCTCGACCAATGGTTTACTCCCCACGAATCACAGCACTAGAATCCATTCGAGTACAGAAAAATCGTGAATGGAGACGACTTAGAAAGCTCTGTTTACCAACAACGGAAATCGAGAGAGAACTAAGAGAAACACAACAAGCGGTGAGAGAGGAAGTTACAAAA